TATAAATATTTGACAAGCGAGATTTATTCCTCTTAAAATTTTCTCTTTATATGCTTATTATCAAGAAATCTATTAACTAAATGTTGAAATCACGTTTCTTACGTATAAATAAATTTAATTAAATTAAAACATCTTTAGATAAATTTTACTATTTCCTTATCTTTATAATAAATTAATTTCTTCTCGTTAATATTTTTTACTGAAGATCAAGACGATCATTCATAAAGTAAGAAACCATAATTAAAATAATTTACTGTGGTTAGTAAATACTTTTCTTATTCAAACACAGTATAATGTATTATGCTATAACATTTTGCTCAATGATATAAACTTTTCATGTCCTCAATTCTACTACCTCCTTATTTAGGTACCTGATAGGTCTATTCTTGAAATCATCTCTCAAGTATGGATATTGAATTTAGAGCATAATAAAATACACATCACAATAATATTTATGATTGTAAACTTCAATAAATGATTATTACTACACTTTTAAATTTTTCCATTTTCTCTCTTGATTTTTTATCTATACATAGAATAATTTAAACCTTGTCTCCAAAAAATCATAAAAATTTAAATCTCTAAAAAGATTATCTTATGAATCTTAACTCTAAATTAATTGTATTTATAGTGATCCTTAATACTCTCTAACGACTTTTTAAGATTATTTTTCTAGAATACACAAATAAGAAAATATGATTGATTGTGGTATCCTTGATTACCTAATACACGATTAAATGGTTCTTAAAGAAAGAATTGATTTATTTAGTTTTTCATTTGTTAAGTGGATTGTCAGTTATGATTATCCGTCATACTATATGATTTGTTCATTTTTAAAACCAAAAATATATAAACGTAAAAATTATTTAAGATAGAAATGATTACTTTCCCTTCTCAATAGAAAGTACTCACCATGAATAACCTTTTAATATCCTGAAACATTTCTATTTGGAGGGAGATTACAACAATAATTTAATGAGTTTGATTTGTATCTCTGAACTGTAAATATTCCTCTATGATTAACTCTGCTGGTGATTTCTAGATCTAATAGCAGGCTAATCACACTTTAAGATTTTTTTTCAAGATATTTTATCTATCTATAGGATAGAAGTTTACACGTTTTCTCAAAAAATCTTAAAATTTTAAATGTCAAAAAAGTATAAATAATATAACAAAAGCTAGAACACTAGAGTTTATGATGATCAGTGATTCCTTTAGTTATTCTTTTGACATTAGTTTTGTCTTAACTACACAAGTTAGAAACCATGATCTAAAAAATTCCGTTGAAACACAGAATAGTCTTAAATTCTTTAATATTGATTCTCTGTACGATTTTAAGATCTCTTATCTGAGTAACTACACTTTTAGATTTTTCCATTAGAAATTTTATCTATATAAAGGATAAATGATTGACCTTGTTCTTAAAAAATCTAAATATTAACAAATTGCAATTGGTGTTATAAAATACTAGGTTAATTAATTGTTTTTAGATCCCTGAAACTCTCAATTAAGTTTGAAGAGTTTAAGATTTTTCTTCAATCAGGGTAAACCACTTATACAGTTAATACAGGAATTCTACAATCTGCTCTCAAGAAGTACCTTCAATTTATTTAAAAGTCTTTTTATCAACTTCAAAACTTCCTTATACATATGATTTCTTAATCTTATAGCTAGATGACTTTATTTTTGGATTTTTCTCATTTTTTCTCTAGATATTTTATCTATGTATAGGATAAATATTTCAACATTTTCTCAAAAAACCTTAAAATTTGAAATGTCTAGAAAGACTATTCGTGCAATTAAATGATAGATTGATTGAGTTTATGGTAATTCACAATGCTCTTTATTTATTCTTCTCAGGTATTTTTATACTTCAATCAACAAACTAGACATTCTGGTCTTGCTAAACTCTTCGTAAGCCCAAAATAGTCTATTTTATCTTGAATAATGTCTTTCCTCTGTTATTTTTGGATTACCTGCTAGTATAAATACACTTTCCAATTCTTCCATTTTTTCAAGATATTTTATCTATGTATAGAATAAAAGTTTGACAATTTCTCAAAAAATCGTAAAAATTTAGATGTCCAAAAAGTACAAATAATACGTTAATACACACGATTAACTTAGTTTGTATTGTTCCGCGGTACTCTCAGTTAGAGATTTGAAATAACTTTTTTCTCAATAAACAAACTAGACAATCTGATCTCAATAAGTGTGTTTAGTATCTCAAAATAGTCTAAATATCTTTAATATTACCTTCTGTATGATTTAAATGCCATTTACCATAAATGCACTTTCCCATTTTTTTTATTTTTGTCTAGATTTTTTACCTATGTCTAGAATGAGCATTTCAGCATTTTCTCAAAAAATCATAAAAATTTGAGTACCCAAAAAGTGCGTGGAATGCATCAAAAAACTATATTAATCGAGTTTATGTTGATCCGCCGTGTCCTCAGTTAAAATTTGCATTAGTTTTTTCTTCAATACAAAAATTAAACAATATGGTCTTAATAGATTGAATTCTAGACGTAAGATAGTCTAATTCATTCAAATTAACTACTTTTCTATATTACTTATAGATAATTTACCTCTATAAATACTTTCTACAATTTTTTATTTTTGTCTAGATATTTTATCTATGTATAGAAAAAATGTTTCAACATTTTCTCAAAAAAACCCTAAAAATTTAAATGTCTTAAAACATACATTAATGTTATAAGGCATTAGTTTGTAATGATCCGCGGTATTCTCAGTTAAAATTTTGAGATTTTTTCTTCAATCAACAAACTAGACAACCTGGTTTCAAGAACTGTCATTAATATCTCATCTAAATATCTTTAAAATACTTATATGAGCAAATCTTAGATCTTATGTTCTGAAAAAATTCTCCTTTAGATTTTTGTCATCATCACTTTATCTACATATAGGATAAAAGTTTGACCATCTCGCAAAAGAATCTTAAAAATTAAAAAGTCTAAAATGACTCACTCACTCAATTTAACACTAGTGTAATTGAGTTTATGGTAATCCGCGATACTCTTATTTAAACTTTCAATATTTTTTATTTTTCTTTAATTAAAACAGAGCATTTATAATGTCAATATAAAAATCAGACAGCCTGATATTAATAATTTCTTTTTATACATGCAAAAAGCTAAAAATCTGGAATGTAGTACTTCTCAATACAATTGATAGATTCACTACATCCAAATCTTACTAAGAAGAAGTTGGAGTAGAGTGATGCGTCTTAATACAGTAAAATACATATCTCTTGTATCATAGACTAAAGTTTGGTTAAAAGTACAATTGAAATTTTTGTGTAAATAACTGTAACAGTAAACAATATTTATTAAATACAGTGAAAAAGCGTTTACTTAACCCAGAACTTGTAAAAGAGATAAGTAAATTTAACAATAATTGGAAAGATAAAACATAATCTCTCTAACAGTTTTAGAAAATAGAGATTCAGAAGTGATTCTGCATCCAAATAATTATTGTCGTATGGTTAAATTTTATAAATATTAATTTATTATTTAACCCCTATGCAAGATCAATAAACTACTTAAAATAGCACAAATATAATCCGATAAACAATTTGTGGTATTATCCTCCGCCTGAGAACGTATCTAGAAGATTTTTATTAAAATCTTTTATATCTTCCATCCCCTCGGAAAGATATTTTGTTATATAATTTTGGGAGGGGAAAACAGCCAATCAGACACCTTCACGCATGCATTAGTCATAAGTGGAGGAAAAATACAAATCATGGTATAAGAATACCATATAATTATTGAAACAATTCAGTTTCAAATATCGTTGTCTTTCAAACCTTACATATTTTAAAAGTTCAAACCTCCATCATAAGGCGCATAAAGTAAATCGAAAAGAATAAAACGTAACATTTTTTAATCTTAAAACCCATCCTTTTATATAGATTAGACGTCGATCATTCTACTCAAAATCTTCAAGTCTCTATTAAAGGCATCACCGCTTCTAAATTGGATAATTTCGATACTTCTTGAGAACAGACAATGCATATGTTAACCCAATATTTGATGTTGCTCCAAGGTGTTTATTCGATAAAATGAGGGGGTGAAAAATTATAATTTATTAGTATCAGAGATATACTACTTAAATTAGAAATAGAGAAGTATCTTTAGTTATTTTTTAGCTTAGTACACTAAAATTTCTGTGATCATGTTATCTTTATCCCTAATAACAAAACTCTGTAAAAACTTGAAATGCTTAAAAAAGCTTTCTATTTCAACATAATAACTCAAATTTGCTCTTAAAACATATCTAATAATTAAAAATCAAAACACTAATATTAAACGCAATACCTGGAATTTCTTATTTTTACTGATTTTTTAGTAACCCAAAAGAGGGGGAAAAAAATTAAGGTGAAATCCTTTTGAATATGATAATTAAAAAAGGTAATCTAAAAAATTTTACCTATAGTTGAGTGGAGGAAGTTTCTTTGTTTATAAAACATGTGAATAAATATATTTATGTCTTAAAAAGTATTTTAAGATATTCTTTAGAGGTGAACGGGATCGTCAACAGTAGGTATGCAATTATAATTTATATAAACAATTTAAAAAGGATTTATCTATCAATTATTTGCCTTTTCAACGCTAATAAGTCAATATATGTACTATCATAATTTAATATTAGTTATTAATAATTTACAAAAAAATATGTACGATGCTCTAATTTGTTTAGAAAATGTTATTAATGCGTTGTTTTATTGAGTGCTATCGATGAATTTCTAGCATCAATTTTATTTTTTACTGTTTTAACAGCTTTTTTCACTTTTTTTCTCCTAACATATATTAAAAAACCCCTTAGTTTTCCTTCTCCCAAACCTCTCATACCCCAGGTTTCACCAATTATGTAAAAACTAATGCATAACAAAGATTTTATGACTTCATTGTAAACAATTTCATTTTTTATTGATAATAAAATAACTTTATTTTTTATAGTTTATTATAAGAAGACTCATGAAATCACAAAATAAATTACTTTGTAGGAAACTTGATCCCGTAGAAGTAAAGTCTTTCCTCAATGATAAGATTCTTATCTATCAGAAGAAATTAGAATGTTATGAGAAAAGATCCCGGTTTAGACTAGAAAATAGGAAGTTTGAGTTGTATCGTGGTAAGTTCTACAGAGAATTAGAAAGTATTAAGATAAATCATCATAATGTTAATGTTGAGGACATAAAGAATTTCTGGAGTTCAATGTGGAAAAAGGACACTAAGACCAAAGAGCCTAAAGTATACTCAGAATATGTAAATGAAGTGGTCTCATTGGTCAATAAAAACGATAAAAGATTCCTTAGCTACTCTGAATTCTTAGAAATAGTTTCAAGATTACCAAATTGGAAGGCTGCTGGACCGGATGGAATTTATAACTTCTTTGTGAAGAAACTGACATCAATTCATGAAATCATGTATAATCTTATTAAGAAGCAATGTTTAGATGGATTTAAAGAAGAAGAATGGTTGTATAAGGGATTAACATATCTTATTCCGAAAGAAGAATGTCATAAAGGGTCAGACTTTAGACCAATAACTTGCATGTCCAACATATATAAATTAATTACAAAATGTGTCACTAAAATAATACAACTAGAAATGAAAGATAGAAACATAATTAGTGAAAATCAGCTAGGAACTATCAGAAGCATACAAGGAGCTAAAGAACAAGCCATGCTAAATATATCTTTAAATATGGAGCATGATAACAAACTTAAATCTTGTTGGATTGATGTTAAGAAAGCTTTTGACTCAATCGAACATGACTACTTGCTAGAATGCTTAAAGAATCTTAATTTTCCTATATGGATTCTCAATTTTGTAAAAAATATTACCTCTAAATGGAGCATTGATGTCTTGATGGACAATAAAAAACTATTTACAAATAAAATCTCTAAAGGAATCTTACAAGGTGATAGCTTGTCCCCCCTTCTATTCGTAATTTGTATGGATCCTTTGAGTAAGAAACTGAATAGCATTTATCCAATGGTAAATGTAGAAATTGAAAAAGACAAATCTTACATGACCAACCATCTACTCTTTATAGATGATATCAAGCTTATTTCTAAGGATAAGGAAATATTAAAAAGATTGATGACAGAGGTTATGAAGTTCTTTGAATTAGTAGGTCTAGAGAAAAATAAGGAAAAGTCTGCAACTAATTGTAGAGCATTAGAACTAGAAGCAAACTTTATTGACAATAGAAATTTCTATAAATATCTTGGTGTAACAGAATATAGTAACAGTAAACCTTCAGAAGAAACTATTGACAAGATTAAACAGAAGATTTTTTCTAGGGTGGACAAGCTGTGTAAAACAAATCTAAACGGAAAAAACCTATTCCTATCAATAAATGAGTATGTAATTTCCCTTATAAATTACTATATAGGAATTTTGAATATAGAACCTGAGGTATTTGAAGGCATTGACGCACAAATAAGACTTATCCTTATAAAAAATGGAATTCATCTGCAACCAGCATGCAAGGAAAAATTATATCTGAGTAGAAAAGAATTAGGTAGAGGATTGTGTAGCCTGGAGTTTAAAAGTGAAAGTATGCTTCTCAAACTAAGAGAAAACTTTGAATTAACGAAAGAGTTGTATACAAGAAGAGCTGCAATCCTAAAAGTCCATAAACGCCAAAATTCTCATTTTTTCCTTATAGGAGAGTATCTAAGAGTAAAGTATAACTTATCTAATAATAATACTTTAAAAGACTTATATGACTCCCAAAGGAAAAACTTATATAATAAAATTAATGCGAAACCAGTCCATAAAATATTATATAAGGCAGAAGAGAATCAAATGGTATCCATCTTAGATTCATCAATATGGCTAAGCAGAGGTAACGTACAGGCAAAAAGTGAGGGTATAATGTGTTACGTCCAAGATAGAAATATGTTCAATTCGGACAAACAAATATGCCCCCATTATAAAGCAAGTAGGAAAACCGTTGACCATCTAGCTACCAGATGCGAACAGATGCTAGACCATGACTATATGAGAAGACACAACGAAATAGTCAAATGTCTACACCTCCTTTTGTGCAAGAAATACAACATAAAAGCAGCTAAGAGACTCCGAGGTCACTCTGTCCAACAAGTCGTTTCAAACGGACAAACAGAAATCAGAGTTGACACTACAATTAGAACTGATATAACAGTTAAGTGCAATAAACCAGATATACTGGTTATTGACAAGAATAAAAAAGGAAATTTTAATTGTAGAAATAGGTGTAACTTCTCAGGATCGTTTACAATAGGTTGAATCTGAGAAACTTAGAAAATATGACATACTAGCTAATAAATTGACTCAAATATATAGCTTTCAAACAAAAATAATTCCATTTGTTTTGACCTGGGATGGTATCGTTACAAAATACCACAGAAAATATAAAGAAGCTCTTAATATTCCTTTCAATCTGGAAGCATACATTCAGTATGTATCTCTTAAGAAAACAATGGAAAGCATATCCATGGACTTCAGAAGACAGGATGTAGACTTGAAAGATTTTGACGAGGTGAATTTAATAGCTGAAACAGTGGTAAGCTCTGGTGTTTGTGATTCAAGTAGCAAAAAATAATTTTAAAAAGTACCTATACCCAATAAAAGATTTTTATTATAGTTTATTAGAAGAACAAAAGAATTCATTATACGACAATATCAAACTGAAGCAAAATCATCAAAAGTTGTATAATATGAAATTTAATCCAAGTTTTTCTATGCAAGAGTCGTCAACCTTATCTAGAAGAAATAATAATGCTAAAACTGATGGATTGTAATGTTTTCTTCAAGATAAGAATACTTTTCTTGGCGAAAAAACTAAATTTCCACATTGTAAAGAAAAGAGAAGAACTGTTGATCATCTTGCAACTAGATGTGATAGAATGCTTAGCTTTGACTACACTAGGCGTTATAATGAAGTTGCTCGAAGCATACACTTACAACTTTGTCAGGCGTACAATCTCAAAGCATCAAAAAAGCTTCAAAATCATTCTGTGCAGGAGGTACTTAGCAATGATAAGATAGAAATTAGAGTAGACACTAAAATTTCCACAGATGTAAAAATCCAGCATAACAAGCATGACATATTTGTATACGACAAAATAAAAAAAGAAATAACCTTAATCGAGGTCGGTATTACAAGTCAGGAAAATTTACAGTCTGTGGAGAGTGAAAAGATGAGAAAATATGATCTTTTAGCTAACGAATTGGGTCTTATATACAAAGCTAAAACAAAAATTATTTCTTATATTATGACATGGGATGGACTGGTGACTATCTTTCATAAAACATATGTTAGAGTGCTTGGCATATCAACCTCGACTGATTATATACAGTCAGGGTTCTAAAAAAGACTCTCGAAAGCATCTCCCTCGATTATAGAAGAGGTCAGAATGAAGGAGGAACGGCTTTGTTAGATATAGAGGATAAATATGGAGGCTTATGCTGTAATGTAGATGTAAAGCATTCTAAATCTAAGTTTGTCACTAACAAGTAAAAATGAAAAATTTTCTCCAAATAAAAACCTTTTATTATATTCTTTATAAATTATCTAACAAAGAAAAGTCATCATTCTTTATGCACCGATTTAAAGCTTTACATGTAATAAACAATATATTTGCTTTTCTTGAAGAAACTTTAAAAACTTTTTGACTAAAATTTTTTAAAATCTTGTCATACTCTGCCTTTGAGGTAGCGTTATGAACTACAGATTCATCAAAGATTTTATTTGACATATAAATAGTAAGAGAAACAATTACATGCTTAAGTAAAATAGGCTTTTCTTCCCACGAATTTTTTTGGTTCATATTACTGCTTATAATTTGTCTGGTCAGGTGCTGTCTTTTTTTGACGTCTATTATGTCATAAGCGTTATAAGCTATCCAAGCCTCATCAGATGCAGAAGCTTCTAATTCATTTATCTCAAATTTTGGGGATTTAGATCCCTTATGTGACTGAAAAGATAGAATACAATCATAACATATGGCAATGATGTAATTGTTCTCTATAATATTTTCGTTTAATATCTTAGACATTACCTGAATTAAGTGATAAAGTGTAAGATAAGAAGTCTTGTAGGCTTTTTTTATTTTTAATCGGGTGTAAAGCATAGACAATCCTTTAAATTTGTCATTTTTTTTGTATTTCTTTTGCTAACAACAAAATTTCCAAAGTGGCAGAATCATATGAAATTATTTTTTGAGGTGAACGTACCACAAATTTAACTATTTTTTTTAGTACGTTTTCATAAAATCTTTCTTTTAACGTATTTGTGTCTGTTCCTTCAAGTATTTTTTCACATTCTGCATAATTTGATGAAAGTTGAAGAAAAGATACACTACTCGGTTTATTAAAAGTTTCATCTGAAAACTTTTTTATGAGATTATTTTTTTTTTTTTTTTT